ACAACACAGATGAGAAAGGTATATATATATTAGATGAATGGGCCAATAGGTTCGACTATCGGAGCATGGTGGGGTGTTTAAATGACACACAAAGGCAGTTAAATGAATTTAAATAACAACTGGCTTTAGTGACATAAACCATAAAATTAACAAACAGTTGTACAAGACACACAATTATGAAAGTAAAATTACACACAATAAAATACAAGAAATAATAATACTTGGCCAAGTGCTAGTTCTCTGTTTTAAATATTTTGGGTGCACCCTGGTAATCTGAATTCTAAATAGTAATAGGCAACAGATTAATCAATTTCAGTTCCAATTAGATTCAACTCAACACCGTTCACATGAGGAGAATTTCCTACACAGCAGTGTGTTATAAAGTTCCAAATAAAAACTAGTCCAAAAGGTAAGGTCCAAAATTCCAGGATTAAAKAATTAGAATGAAAAATGTCTAGTCAGTGGTCTCACTCATAACCAACTGTGTGTGAAGATGTGAGTGATACAGGCCTACCACACCACGGGGTGCAGCAGGACTCCAGATGGAAAAGAAGGAATCCAGTTCTTTCTAAGTCCAGGTGGGAAGGCTCGCCATCAAAGTCACAGGAGGAATCCACCTCAGGAACAAAGAAATAAAATAAAATAAAATAAATCCTGACCTGTCAACAGACAGGACCAGCAGAATAAAATAATTTTATTAAGCTGTTCTAGCTTTAATCCTTAAATCATGTTTCTGTAGACATCATATTTGACATCAATTTGTTATCAAATAATTTGCAATGAAACAATTCTCTTTTACCTCAATGCAGTATTTCACTACATTGTCAATTTACTTTTCTGTAAATTGCAAAAGCGTTTTTTCAAACACGATATTAAACATTACATTTTACCCAAAATTAGTAAAAGTTTACATTTGAATAATTAAATAGATCAGATAAACACTAGTATTCAACAAAATGTGATAAACAGAACAAAAACACAATTGAAAGTCACAGAATATGCTCACCGATCTCAATGCGACACGTTTGGGACAACAATATGGTGGCTCTCAGTCCGGACCCGTGGGGCACTAGATAATGTAACAAGGCATATTTTCCATGCTTTAACTTCAATAATATGAGCTTTCATCGTGAACAAAGTAAGAATATACTATAATTTAAGCTTTACCTTCAGCTGAACAGAGAACGAGATGAGCTTCGAGAAGACCAGCAGCCAATAAGAGCTAACGAGGCTAACGAGTCAGCTCTAACAGGGCTCGGCAGAAAAACTGAAGTTCAGACTTTTTTATATATTTATTTTTTTTTACTTCACAACTTCCAGCTTAGAAGTCGGATGATAAACAGCCATTCTATCCAGGAAAGGGTTTGTTTAGAGTTCGTATCCAGTACTATAACAGTCTTAACACAGAGACTCTCACGCTGCACAGCTTAACCTTTTCCTTCTCATGGCGGATCTCTCTCGCTCCAGTGTTGCCAGATGGGAAATGTTGAATTATCGTATCAGCAGCTCAAAATTATCGTATTTTGAGGAAAATTATCGTACACACCCAAGTTACATTTTAGAGAGGCTCAAATTTACAAATACATCCTGCTCAGCTCACAATGTGCTCTGTATTGAACAAACTGCACATTCTTTTGTTTATAATAAAGTTACTGTTGTTTTTTTTTTTTGTTTTGTTTTGTTTTTGTTGTTTTTTTTTACAAAAGCTTTGTTGTAAGAGAGAACAAAACATGGAGTCTGGGGGAAATGCTGCATATAAAAAGAAATGTTAGATAAAATGACTAGAATAAAATGTAAATTATAGGCAAAGTTAAAATGAAATCAGGAAAAGAACAAATCATTGTAGTTTATTGTACTTTTGATTAGTCAAGAAATAAATTGAGTGCATACTGAACAAATTTAATCTGCAAGCCTCCAAAATCTTTTTTTTTTTTCCTTTTAAAAAATAGCTTCTGGATGACACCTGGATGTTTATTTAATGTAAATGTTGCTTATACTCCTCACCTTCTCAGTCCCACCTTTTCTTTTTGATTTCACAGTTATTATTTCTTTCACATAATTACTGTTATATTTATCTTTGCTGCTACTAGTTGTCATCATAACCCCAATGTGGGAGGGGGTGTTCTCCCCCAGAAAAAAATGAAGTAGGTGCTGTTTCCTGCATTCTGGTGTATTTGCATGTTGTTAAACATATTTTAAACTACATAAATAAACACTTTTGTATCTATTTTAGAGACAGATTCTGCATTCATCTCAATATATGAATCATCATTTTTGTGTCTCATTGGACGTTTGATGCTTTGACCAGCTGGTAGGAAGTAGTTTTAAAAGTGTTAAAAAAAACACTGGTGACTGTGTCGTGGCAGTCAGCCTCCTCTTTAGAGACAGTAGTTTGTCAAGAGAATAAAAAAAAAAGTTTCTTCTGTTGCTCTTCTGTACAGAGGGCCAAATTATTGTACAAATACGATAATTATCGTACACCTGGCAACACTGGCTCACACGTTGCTGTAGACACGGGGAAGAAGGGCGGGACTTACAGCAGAAGTCTGAAATCTGATTGGTTTAAACACACTGGAAACTAAACTTTCTATTGGCTAGGTAGACCACCTYGCTTCCCTAACCTCCATTTCTTAAAGAGGCATCCCCATTTTATGTGGGTTACATATGTCCCAATACAACTTAGTGAATCAAAACAGTTCGCAGCACCAACCAAATCTTATCTGCATGACTTGTGATCTAAATTAAATGACCATTACCTTTAAAAAMGTGTCTCATCTATGGATTTTAAGTGTTGTATGATTTGTGTATAGTTCTGAATCAGCATCTGTCTTAGTCATGGTTCTGACTGTCAACTGTATTTAGATGTTTAAATTAAAGAGCAAATAAAGCAAAACACAATTGGAGAAGATTAGTAAGGTGAAAAATAAATTTTAAAAAAGACTAACAAAAGTTTAAAATTTGTATGTATTTTGTTTGTTGTTTGTGTGAATTCACAATGTCTAATATTTTAACTACTGATTCTGCATTTTTTATACTTATGATATTGTGCACAAACAGTTTTTCATTGTTTTAAATTACTAATTTATTCCGTGTCTTTTCCTTTCTTTCCTCTGTGCTTATCATGGATGAAACATCTTCATTTGATCATCAATAGGTAAGATATTTGTTGTCTTCTCTTGACACTCACACAAGGCTCTAACATTCACATCATCACCTTCAGCACCACAAAGGGTTTTCAAATACAGATATCTAAAAACACATCCTTTCTTCTGTCCCGTTTTTTTAACCACATGAAAACTGAACTGATGCTGGCTTTGCAATACTTTGATTTTTTATCTTGCATTTTTTTCCCTTTCCCCCCCTTAAAACACTCAAAGAGGCAGCTGCTTCCACAGTCATGTAACACAAGCAGCTGCTCTGATGTCTGTGTGTGCAATATGGTATACCTTAGGCTTTGTAGCACATAAATGTTTTTTTTTATCCTGGTTTCCACTGTGCAGTCATCTCCTGAATAATGCATCATAATGATTCTCTCTTTTTTTGCTCTTCAGTGTGAAATGCTTTTTATATGTGAGGACAAAAATGTTTTAAGGCATTTTCATAACCTATTAAAACACAACTAAAAATAAACCTGAACATGTTGGCTTGTTATAAGAAATAAATGAGTTGAGAGTTATGCATTTGGAAGAGTGRTGCTGTGTGGTTTAGATGGTGAATTCAAATGTAGGTCACTGGACTCATCTGTTAGATTAGATGGGGAAGTAGATTATCTATCTGTGCATTTGCTTTGAATGGACTATTTGTTGTTGTCCAATAACCTATTTATGTGTTACTCTACTCTTTTTAAAATGTGTTCTAATATATTCCTCAATAAAAAAATATTAACTATCCTATCTGTCTATCAAAGTCAAAGCAAAGGTAAGATRTGGTTGGTGTAAGACAGGTTCTTGCATGTTACATGTACAGAACACATTCAGAGCACCAAAGTCCATCTGAATTA